TAAGTTCGTGGTTCAAAATTGAGAACCAGGGTACTAACGTGTGTTCAAGACATTAAAAGGCTGGATAACACACAAAATTCTATCTAAGTGCAATAAAACTGTACATAGTTGCCTACTTCTTTGTCTCCTTTTCCGCATTTCAGTGCAGTAACTACATCTTGGTAGGGCTGAGTAGGTATTATCACAGTTTTTATCACTTTGGGTGGTGGTGCAGGAGCATTAAAAACTCCATCATCTTTTTCATTTGGTTCCTTTGAAGACAGCCTCACCTATTAATAAAGGTATTAAGTTAGCTGATCTAAATGAATATATAAAAATAGTAACATGTCATCTACTTGGCAAATTTAGCTTAATAATAATAACCCCCTCTCTCTCTGCTAAAGGAAGGAGGAGACCACTGAAAGGTCATTAGGGATACTTTAAAAATTCCATGCACTACAAGGTAAGCCTCATGTATGTTTCATTCACAAAAGAGCACTCAGGAATTCCTTCTGGTCTTTTAAAGCTTACATTTCATACAACTTGTTATTTGTCCCCAGGACCACTAGGAGGAATAAACAACCACAATTACACACATAAATAGCACTTATAAGCAGCTCAGGATGGACAGGAAAAGTACAACATATGAACAAAAGAATTTTTAACTAGAGGCATCGTAGTTTAGGGCAGGAAAACATAGCCGTCATATGCACAGCGATGGTTCTATACTAGCAACAGGAGTGTAATTTATCAACTTAAGAAGACAAGGAACAATACATTATATTTTAGAATGATTTCTACCCCTATTTTGTTGTTAAAAAGAACTCATTCTTTGACAGCTCCAGATGGCTGAGGTGTTACCATTAATGAGAAGTATTAATGTATGGTCCTATCAGTCATTCTGAAGAAAATAATTTGATAAGAATCTTTTTCAAATGTGTTTTGAATTGAAAGATATTACTGGAATGCAGGGGAAAGTTCTACTCTGAAAAGCAAATTAATCACTCAAAGCCACTTTAAGTTCAATGTAATTTATAATATAGCTCTTAATGTAAACATGAAATATACAATACTGCATTTCGATAAAGTGTGGGTCAGGAGTAAATAAAGTCATTTAATATTTTTAAGGCTTTCATTTATAACCTAGTAATACCAGCATTTCTGTTATTCTGTCCACAATCTTTACTTTTCCAATGAATTAAACTAAAGCCACTAATTTTTAGAGAGGAAGTCAAAAATAAAAAAATAGAAAAGCCAGAGACTCTCAAATTATGAATGAAGAGAGCAACTGATTAATTAATTTACAATTCATTACACAAACATGAATTTGTAAATTACAGCTCACTTACTGTGACACTCTGAGGTTTTACTCCTGGTCGCCCAGGTAGTTCTTCTAAGTCTGGATGGTTCCAATGTCCAGCATTATATAGAGCTTTTGTAGGAGACTGAACAAATGAGAAAAAGATCAACTGTTTCCACCTTACTTTGCTTCCTTATAAAATTACTTCATTTTAAAAGTTAAAAATTATAAAGAATAGTTGAAATACAGAAACACACGTCCTGGACAGAGGACAGACAGTACCTGGCCCCGTAGCAGACATGGTGTCACTGGGCTTTTCTGCCACAAAATCAACAAGGGCACTCTAGTAAAGGGTCCCAGGTCCCAGCCTGTCTCCTAATGGCTTTATGTTCTGAGAATGTAGAAATGGTACAAACAAAACAGAGAGAAGGGGAAAGAGAGAACTGACATATGATGCAACTAAAGTTTTAACTTTTCAGAAGTCACAGCTATATATATATTATATTTATCTTAGGATACTGTAGCTTTTTTTGTTTTTTTGTTTTTTTTTTTTTGAGGTAGAGTTGGCACACAACATTAGGTTAGTTTCAAATGTGCACCATAATTATTCCATACTTGTACATATTGTGAAATAATCACCACAACAAGTCAGTTGAAGAGTCCAAGTCGGTACTGTTTGCCACTTAACAGGCCAATAATCGAGAGAGGAGTTGTTGGGACAAGGAATAGTGACTTTATCCAGAAAGCCAGCAGATGGAGATAATAGCAGACTGGTGTCCCAAAAAACCTTCTTACCCAAGTTTGAATTCAGGTTTCTTTTATACTGAAAGGGGAGGGGTTATGGTTGGTTGGGGCAAACCTCCTGGTGCCTGAATCCTTTGTTCATTGCTGTAGATCTGGTCACAATATTCCTATAAATCTCCACAAGACAAATGTTATTCTCTCTTTTGCAGTTTTTTCCCCCTCTTTATATGAAAGGGAAGTTGTTCTTTTTTAAAGGTCAGAGCCTTGAAAATAGGCTCTCCTGTACATTTCAGGCTAGAGGCAACATTCTTTCAGTGATTACTTTGTAGCAAAAGCAATAGAACACAAAGGTTAAAACCAAAGGAACAGATCAATATTGAGTCAGGTTTGTTCTTTCCTATTTCAAATCTAGATGACACCTATCACTATACTTACATAAACAATGTTTTTCTCTGATGAGAATTCTGAAGGTCAATTCTCAAAAGCTTCAAATATGCAATCTATTATTATTAAGTATGATCACCATGCTGCTTCTTACATCTCCATGCGTCATTTGTATTAAAACTGGAAGTTAATGCTCCTCTTCACCTTCACCCAATTCACCACACTCACCTCCTGACTCTGGAATGACCAATCTGTTTTCTGTATCTATAAGCTTGGATCTTTTTTAAAAATTCCTCATATAAGTGAGATCCCCTAGTATTTGCCTTTCTCCAAGTTTTTTTTTAGCATAATGCTCTCGAGGTCCTTCCTGTTGTCACATGGCAAAATTTCATCCTTTTATTTGGCTGAATAATATTCCATTGTACACCTATATCACCATTTCTTTATCCACTCATCTGTCATTGAACACTTGGATAGTTTCTGTATCTTAGCTGTTGTAAATAATGCTGCAGTGACCATAGGGATGTATATATCTTTTCAAGTTAGTGTTTTCCTTATATGCATGACTAGGATATTGTATGATACACCAGCAAGTGACACATTGTAAATGACTGTCATTCAATTTAAAAAAAAAGTTAATGTTTTCCTTTTCTTTATAAACCCCAGAAGTGGATGGCTG